TGTCTGTCTCTCTCCTCAGTGGGGCCCAGTAGACCCTGTGTCTCTCTCTCCTCAGCGGGGCCCATCAGACTCTGTGTCTGTCTCCTCAGTGGGGCCTAGCAGACCCCATGTCTCTCTCCTCAGCAGGGCCCAATGCCCTCTCCATTATTACTGGCAATAGGGCTGAGCAGTACGGGCCACTAGGTCAAGCAGACCCTGGGTACACGCTACAAGATATGGTCTGGAGCTATGGAAGAGGAAGAACATTCCAGATAGAGAGGTGGTCACAGATCCCATATTCCCCAGGAGCAAGACCTGTAGCTGCTTCAGAAGACAGCAGATTCACATTAACTGGAATTCAGGTGTTAATGACACAGGTAAAAGGCCTGTATTCTACCCTAGTGACCTCCTCTGGGCAGACATCAGCAGGGCCCACAGAGGTGAGCGTGAGCTGCTTGGCCTGGCTGTTGAGAGCACCACTGCTGTCTTAGCAGGAAGCTCTAGGACTGCAATGGCCTCACAGACAGTGCCTGGATGCGGGCCCTTTAACCTTCTTGAGCATTATCTCAGTCATGCCTGTGAATGGAAGTGGCACACAGTGAAGAGATTCTGGACATAGCCTTCCATGTAGATCACATCGTCCAAAAGAAACAGCAAAGCTGAGGTTAGAAAGGATGACCATTGAGAGCTCTGAAGTGACCTCTGAACACCGGGCATGGTGGCTGGGGTCAGAACACCTGGCTCAGAAGGTACAGAATACCCTGACCGAGCTTCCTCTGTCTCGAGGAACAAGCTGAGTAACCTCTGTGAGACCATTTCCTTCTCTGTGAGGTGGATGCCTGTTGGCTGTTCTGAGATGCTGTATGAAGAGCTTGCTACACAGTAGGTGTTAAGTGACAACATTGCTTCCTGGACAGGGTGAGGAACACATAGGCAAGCGATGGGTAAGGGTGCTTGGTTCATGGGCTCATCACTTACCCACCTGTCTTCTCTCAGGTAGGAGGCAAAAGGCAAACATCTGGTCTTCTGAACGACATTGGCGCAGTCAAGTCACACCAAAGCCACCTAGTTCCCATGAAAGTTTCTCCATGCAACCTCAAGACTTATTCTCTCTCAGTGACCATCAAATGGTACTAAAGACTCTGTCTCACCTAGCCTCCGCATCCCGTGAATCTTCAATGGGACTATACCACCCAAGTCCCACCTTCCATGGCCGCTGGTTTCATTAAAGTGTAGTGTAACGAAGGGGCTTAGCTCAGTACCCATAACCCTGTTACAAATGCACGCTGGTTCCAAGAGCAAGCTGTTCTGTGTGTCTGGTCTGTTTTTGTTTTTAATTTGGGGGTATCTGGGGCTCACATGGTGATTTGATTCCAGAGCCCAGTGTGGATGGAGCATCTGGCACATGATAGCATGGCTTTCATATCCTATAGGTGGATGAGAATGTTAGTCACTGTAACATCTGCTGGTTCTCACAGTAGACTGGAGCAGATGCTCAGAGTGGACTCCTGCTACTGCCATGGCCCTTTCAGAACTACATCCCTGCTGTCTCAGTCACGCTTTGCTTTTTAGCAACTGGGATCCATGATGACTCTCCCTTAGTGTTGTGGGAGTCTGTTGTCTGTTGGTCTGTCATGTAACACCAAGACCCAGAAATCTGTTTAAAACCCTAGGCCAGCACTCAGTGGGCTCAATGCTGCTTTTAGCAGCAAGAGCTCCATAGAGCAGCTCCTGCATCTAACCCTAGCTGGGTACTTCCTCTTTATTTCGGGGAGCTTTTCTCTACCTGGAAATTTCCAGAAGGAGACTATAGAACCCTCAACATGCAGGTACCATAGACCAGCTGCCCCAGCCCATGGCAATCAGTTTCTGTTCCAGACCTGGCCTCAAAGGAGGACAGTAGGCACAAAATAATCCCATAGCTGCTGGCTGCTAAGACATGGTGGATGCTGTGTCCCAGGCCAGCAGGGCATATTTATCTTTCAAAATCGAACAGCACCTTAACAGTTTGACCAAATTAATACAGTTCATGTCTAGCTTGCTTGCACTGTCCTAGCAGGGTAGAAAACAGTTACTCAGAACCTCTTCCAACCATACCCTACTTGACCCACTTGACATAGCCAGGAGTTTCCAGGTAGGCAGGGCAGAGATGGAATCGGGCATTGGAGTGCTCTTTCAATTCCCGGAGAAGCCTAGAGGCTAGCTGTATCCCTCCGTAATAGAAATTCGATAAGGGAATCCAAATGTGAGAGGCACATGTGCTATGCCTACCCACTCCAAAACTGAGATGTACAAACACCAAGATTGCTTCTCACCCTCAAGTCTATGGTCCAGCTTAGTAAGTCTCGAAGCCTCTAGGCAATGTTTCTTTGTTCACTGTGCCTCCTTTAAGCTCTCTGCAGGAAGTTCAGTGTTGTGACTGAAGGACTGGCAGCATGGAGCTCTGTGTTCACCTATGCTGGGCATGTGGGCTCCTTCTGTATAGCACAGTTCTCTCAGCCTATCAGGGAGCAACCAGCCACATGGAGTATGGTGTGTGTGTGTGTGCGTGTGTGTGTGTGTGCATGTACATGTGTGTGGCCAATGAGGCTTTCAGCTGAGGAAAAAGTCTTGGGACAAACCTAGAGCATGAGGATATCTGTGATTCTAGACTAGCTGGGCAGCTCAGCTCTCTCACTGTTTGACTGCTGCATACTCCATGACTACTGCTGAATGAGCTGACCTCGTTTCCAGTCCCTCCAACACCAGTGCCCAAGCCATTTCATGCTCAGAGCCACCCATGGCTTCCAGAAGTCCTGTGTCAGCAGAGCTCTTTCCCAGGCTTGCTTTCCTAACTGCCCCATCCAGCTTTTGAATCCCCGTTCTTACTCTGTTCTACTAAATGAGCCTGTCCACACTCAGGACAGACAGATAAACCCAGAAAAAGCTTCTTACTCCATGTCGACCGAGTGCTAACCACTCTATGCAGTGTGGGCCACTCACCAACTGCCCATTATAGTTATGGGAAATGTTAAGGTTAAGGGTTAGGGTCTGAGTCATGGACAGGGTCAGGGATGAGAATGAGGGATTAGGGTTAGTGTCCTAGTTAGACTTTTTGTCAGCGTAACACAAGCTGGGGTCACCAAGGAAGAAGGAATTTCATTGGAGAAAATAGGCAAGTCTGCGGGCATTTTCTTTTCTTTTTCTCCTATCTATCTATCTATCTATCTATCTATCTATCTATCTATCTATCTATCTATCTATCGATATTTTGGTTTTTCAAGACAAGGTTTCTCTGTATAGCCCTGGCTGTCCTGGAACTCACTCTGTAGACCAGGCTGGCCTCGAACTCAGAAATCCGCCTGCCTCTGCCTCCCAAGTGCTGGGATTAAAGGCGTGTGCCACCACTGCCCGGCTTGAATTTTTTTGATTAATGACTGCTGTGGGAGGGCCTCCACTCACTGGGAGTGGGGTCACCCCTGGGCAACTGGTCATTGCTTGTATAAGAAAGCAGGTTTAGCAAACTATGAGGAGTAAGCCAGAAAGCAGCCTCTTTCACAGCCTCTGCGTTGATTACTGCCTCCATGTTCCTGCCTGGAGTTCTCACCCTGACTTCCCTTCTGCCAAAGTTAATTTTGGATTCCTGGTTCTGTGTAGAATTTCATTGGAATTTTGATTAGAAAGGGGGGACAAAGAACTCCAGTGTTCCTCAAGTCCATCTTCAGCCTCTAAAGTGAAATTAAGGTTTAAATAGGGGGCCAGCATCGGCATATCTGGCCATCTCCAGTCAAGGTGTGGCCCTACCCATTACTGCTGAGGCTCTAGTTGCTTCAGCAAGGTGTTCTGACAAGTTGATAGGCTGTGAAATCTCTCTGGGGCGAAAGTCTCTCATCTTGATTGGTCTGGCTTTTGGCTTTTCATCCAGCATGAGATTACTGAGGAAAATTCCAGTCTCTTAGGGACCTCTGTTCTGATAGCCAAAATCAGGGTCACAGTGACTCTTTAGAATAACTTCATTTCCACTAGGCTGATGACAAGGTGGCCTCTTGGGGAAGAGAAGACCTTGTTGCCTCGTGGACGCATTAGGGGATCAGACTTCAACTCCATGACAGAAAGACCTTATGCAGAGTCTTGTAGTGCAGGCCTCCATGTGGAAGAGAAATCCCTCCAGACACAAGGCCTTGCTGAGTCTGTTCTCAGCCACAAGAAAGGAAAAGATCTTAGCATTGCCAAACTCTGAGCCAGGCTTCCTTCAAAGAGAAAGTTCTCTCTAGCTGAGAGCCTTGAGCTTAGCAATTGGCTTCTCCACAGGAAAGACCACCCTTGCCCCTGTCCCCGTAAGTTTGTGCCACCCCCAACGCGCGAGTACACAAACACACACACACACACACACACACACACACACACACACACACAGGTTTGCTTTCCTCAATCCAAGTATCCACCAAAGGGAAAGATCCTAAGCCAGGCTTCTGCCTTTGAGAATAGAAGGCCCACTGGCTGCAGATCCATCCTCAGATGAGCATGGGGCTCCTGTACAGGAAAGTTAATGACCTTCTTGAGGCTGAACACTAAAAGTCTAAATCCAGACATACTCCTTGGGTTATGGAAAACAGTCCTACCATTGAGGCCTTATTCTAACCGAAGCCAGATCCTTATGGAAGGGAAGGGGAAGAAACACATACCCACACCATACTCCATAGGGAAATGAACACTCTCCTGTTGAAATCACAAGGCTACACGGTCAGCACTGTGGCTATTTAAACACTCGGGCCAACCCTCTCCAAACGCCTTGACGTCAGAACTACTATAGCCCCCCCCTCCCCGCCCCCCTCGAATCAACCCAGGCACAGAGATGCGCGTATTGCCTTCTGGGATTAGTAGTTTTTCTATGAGGTCTGCACCACGGAAAAAAGCCGAATGGAGTTGTCTGGAACTACAAGACCCAGAGTTCCATGAGTCCTGTGGGAGGAAGTGCTGGAAGATTGTGGGTGGGTGTTCCAGTTTTTAAGCTGTAGTTTGGCGGTGAGTTTACAGGTAATTCCTGCACGAATCACAGGCTCTCAAAGAGTGGGGATTCCGGAAAGGGAAGGAGCACACTCACTAGAAAAGGAGCCTCGGGTCTCACACCCCTTCGGGACATGCCCGGCGTGTCTGAGGCAGGTGGCTGCGAGGTATCTCCTGGCGAATGAACCTGCTGTTACCGCCATGTCTTCGGACTTCTTTCTGCAGCCTTTGGACGGCGGTCCCCGCGTGCCCGTGGGGCCGGGACAGACTGTGATAGGCCGCGGGCCGCTGCTGGGAGTAAGTGTGGGAGTTACTCCCGGGCGAGGGCAGCCTGAGTTTGCTCGGCTGAGGCTGTTTGTGTCTCCTGTCCTAGGGAACTCCACGCCTTGGCTCTGCTTGTCAATATTTTATAGGTTTGTAGGTTTTCAAGCAAAGTTAGTCAAGTCCCAGACATTTCTTTTTAGTGTCTGTAAAACGTGGGGAAAATGACTTAACATCATTATCCTATCCAGCTGGCAAATTGGGGCCAAATCCAAGTTGAGCCAAGTTCGGGTTATGAGATGTAAAATGTAAACAGACCAAATAAATAAACAAAAACGTTATTAGTATTTAAAGACGAATAGTACTCTAAAGGTTAACGTGTCGCATGTTGACCATCAAAGCTCACAATATTTACAGTACTGTATGGCCCATCACAGAGAAGGTTGATCACCCAGTGACCTCCCCTGAGCTTTTTCTGAGGGGCTGGTGGTATCCCTTTGTAGTATCGGTAGCTACCCTTAAGTTGTCTGGGTAGTGAACCAGTCATTGTTCCAAAGAGATACACTTAAATTTACTACTTTCAAAACTTTCGAGCCAGGTGCTTTTTATTAGCCTCGTTCAAATGAGAAAATTGGAGTATAAACTGGTCATTAAAAGGTGATACACACGTACAAATGGCCACTAAGCTATATAGTCTTTACCCTCTTTGGGAAGAGTAGAAACCAGAACATTTGCAGTTTGGAGTATGAAATTATATTCGGTGGTATTCAACCATTTAGCATTGCCACAGGACATATAATTTACAAAGGCCACTCTAGAGAACCTGGCGGTCGAGTTAAAATATCACAAGGGAGAGATGGGTTAACCATTAAGATCCTGTAACTTCCTATAGAGGACTGAATTTCCAGCACCCATGTTGGGCAATTCACAAATGCTTGTAATTCTGCCTCTCTGGGCAGTGTACACACATGCATATTCTAACACACAAATATACATATATAATAAAAAATTTTTTAAATTCACAAATTTGTTTTAAAAATCTCTGCTGTTTTTTTCCCACCTGAGTGATATTTTCTGTGTCCTTGCTGTCCTATTTCCTGTTTTTTTTTCCTCTTCTTCACCATTATCATATGAGTTTTGTGCTCCAACATAGATTGTCAGATTGGTGTTTCTTTCTTGAGTTTTTTTTTTGCAATCTCCATCTCTAGATTGTGCTTTAGGTGTTGATATGTTTTGCTCTAACTGTTGATTCTTGGAGGATGTATTAGTATGTTAGAATTTAGGTTATCTTAAATATATTTGTCTTTAAAGAGAGAGCCTCACTACATAGCCCAGGTTGCCCTTGAACTTGCAGTTTTCCTGCCTCACTTCCAAGAGCTGGGTTTACAGGCATGTATGTACCCAACTTTTTTTTTTTTTAAGAGATGATTTTTGTTATGAAATAAACCATGTGTCCACCAGAGGTCACACTATACTTTTGTTTTATTCAAAATATCCTTTTCTTCCTGGTGTTAGGCATACTTAAAAGATAGACATAAAAGATCTATTATTGTTTATAGTTTGTGTTCAAAAGTCAAGGAGCCTTAGATGGGCTGTTAGAAGAACCATCTCTCTGTTTAATGGTTTTATCATGGCTTTCCTCTGATGGTTAGTGAAGTACCAATGAAATCTTGGTACTCAAAAATAGGAACGTCTTACTCTGAGCTGCAGTGATTTGCATGTCTCTGGTTGCTTCTGACTGATCTGACAAGGGTCTAGTCATGTGATTATTTTCTCACATAAACCATCTTTTTATAAGTAGGAGTAATGTCTTGAACACTGGGTATTCTGAGAGTGACTACCCAAGTTACCTACATCCCCTGGGCTTTCAGGACCCAACTGTGTAAAACGAATACTAGCTGCAGAAGCATATCACAGAACATAAAGGAGTCTCAATTTTTTTTTTTTAGGTTAGGACATATACTTCTTTGAAATAGCCATATTTTAAATGAAGTTTTGAAGATTTTTTTTCTAGAAATTAATTTTTTAAATTAACTCTTTTTTTTGTGGAAGAATGACTTTTTGTGGTCCTCACACTGTTGTGACCCTGTGTGTTTCATATCATTCAGTGTGGATTTTGAGAGATGAGTACTGACTGGTGGCAGTTTCCATGTCTTTGCAGCTTTAATGGGTTTAACTTTACCCGCTGCTATAGTGTGCTTTGAGAATTGATGTTGGTTCTGCTGTATGCAATGCTTATCTTCAAGTACTTGATGGTAAGTGAGCCAATCGTGAGACGGGTAATAGAATCACAATATTGTATAGTTGTTGCTTGAGAGGTTTTTCTCATGTGTCAGACCGGGCTCAAAAATCAAACAAGTAAATCTCAACTATTACATTTGCTATGAGGACAGTAGTTTTCAGCGTTTAAAATATCAGCAGTTTGGAACGTTGATGTAGGCAAATGATTGTGAGTGTAAGTTGACAATTTTAACTCAAAACAGGAAGTGATTATATTGAAGACATAGACGCTGATCTCTTCAGTGTCAGTGTTTGCCTTGGGCTGGTTTCCTCCTGCTTTTTTTTTTTTTTTTTTAATTGCCACATGCGGTCCCAGAACAGAAATGCGGGTTGCTTATCTGCATCTGCCTAGCCTTATAGTCACACCCTTCAGATTTACCACTTAATTTAAGACAAGCTGAATTTTTATATTTGAAATGTTTCCTAACCAGTACATACTGTTTATATCTTTCTTGTTTGGTAGATTCATTAGTAGGAATCCTGTCTAGGTATGTTTCATATATGGGAACTGGGGGGTTTGGGGCCGCATAGACTACAGGGTTTTTTGGTAGTCATTTACTCTTTCATGACTTTGGCGGTCTTCTCTCTTCACCGTTTCGTTATCTGTTAAGTGAGGGTAGTTATTTGACATGCAGTTCTTGAGTGAATGATATATTTGATGTCTAGCGTATAATGTCATATGCATTGCTAAGGGTTTGTTTATTTTCCAGGAGGTGGCTGTATTTGACACTTTTTCCTTTGTAGATAACAGACAAAAGAGTATCCAGAAGACATGCCATTCTTGAAGTGGCAGATAGTCAGCTTCGAATCAAACCAGTGAGTATATGGATTATTTTAACCCTTTGCCTCTTGCCCTTCTAGCAACTGATTGGAGAAGCCTAAGGCTTAAAACTAGGGAATTTATGTCAGAACCCATTCTCCTGATACCTGGAAGATAAGTACCTAAATAGTAACTTATTTCTCATACTACAGAGCTGAGTCTGAATGGTTAGATTTATGGAAGATGATTGCCTATGTGTAAATTGTAATTTTGTTCATAATTTCCATAAGAATACCTGTAACATGGGTAAGTACACGTCCTGGGTAAGTGAGACCCTGAACTCTGATCCCTGGCACACACGTGAAAAGCCATGTTTGTCTGTAACCATAGTGGTGAGGGGTGCTGAGACAGTGCACCTGCAGCTTGCTGGCCAGCTGGCCGAGCTAAAAATGGTAAGCTTAGGTTCAGTGAGAATCTCAAGAGAATAGGGAAGAGTGTGGCAGGAGAGGAGACTCCTCTCCCTCCAAGGGTGTGTGCAGTGTGTCCCTCCCCGAAACGGGGGAGTGTCAGTAACTGAGCAGTGCTTGGTTTCATGGGTCAGATAGGAGAGTGAATGAAGTCACTCAGTATTACAGGGGTTTCCACACATTTCTAAGGCTCTCGATGTAGAATTGAGTATTTGTAACTTGTAGAATTTATTTAGTTTCATTGTTTTGTAGATCGCTTTCTCTGGAAGCATTTTCTTCTGGCTGGACTTTTAATCCTTTACTCCGTAGCCTGGGTGTCAGTGCTTTGCAGGGGTGATCCCAAGTCGACAGAGCCCCTCTCTTCCATTTGCAGACTCCGTTGTACAGGAGAGTGAGGCGTGTGTCTGAGGGCACGTTCGCTTTGGAGTGGTTTATTTGGTGGTGAAATAAATGATGGAACTGAATCCACTGACTTTTGACATTTAAGCTATTTTGTATTCTCGCCCCATCCCTGGCTTGTGCTCTACTTCTGAGTTGTACCCTAGCCCTGCGATGTCATTGTTTTTGTACTCTTGTCTATTTTATAAGTCATTACTTCAATTTACACAGAATTTTACACACTATTTCCTTTTATTATACTATGCTAGACTATTGTTGCAATAATAGCCTTTTTAATACTAATAGTACTGGGAAAACTTAAGTAGAACTGATGTTACCCCATCTTGACCCCGAATATAAGACATTATATTCTTCTGTCCTCAGGTTGTACCAAGTGCCTTGACAATGTGTCAGGGCTGTTCTTGGCACCCTGGGGCTGCTGTACTTCCTCTCTGGATCTTCACTTTCTTACTTTTCTTAGTTGAGATTGTTAAGCTCATTAAATATGAGGAGTTGGCTTTTGTGTCTTAAGTATCTACTGAATGCCTGGACTGTGTCAGGTTCTTAATATAGCTGACTGCATGAGTCAGAGCTGTGGTGAGAAGCGTAATAAAGCAGGTATATCCGGGGCTTTTATAAAAGCACTTACTTTTCATTATCCACTTTCTAATGTCCTTCTAATGAACTACCATGGTTCAAAATAAAGAAGTTCCTTGTTCCTGAAGGACCTTAGGGAAGAGTAAGGGGGATTTCTATTCCTGTTTCTGATATGTTATATATTTAGATTTAGTTGGTCCAAAAAAGCAAGGATGGATAATAATCCATTTGGCCCCAAGTGAAAGATTTGTGACAACACTCAACATTCTGCAAGATTTAGCTGGATTGCTCTGTAATCCACAGTAATGTAAGGAAGAGTGGAGACTTCAGCTTTGGATTGCTAGATCCCTTCAGCGCTTTTGATGATTGGATTTCTTTTTTTTTTAATGAGCTCCTAGACTTTTCTGGATTGTATTGTTAATATCCAAATCCTACTGATAGTAACATGTACAGAGAAATAAACCAATATGATTTTTATAACATATGTAAAGTCTTAATTACACTTATTTGTTGTGTGTGTATGTACATATCAAAAATACATTATTAGGAGACCATCCTGTTTAGTAATGCATGGAGATTTCAAGTTCATTTAACAATTTTACTGTTGTTAACCAAAGACATTTTTATTCTAAAACATAAAATAGTTAAACAAAACTTGTTTAATGTGTATGATGTTCTGTCTGCATGTATGTGTTCCATGTGTGCAGTACCCATGGAAGCCAGAAGAGGGCATTGCATCCCTTGGGACTGGACTTACAGATGTCTATGCACCACCATGGTGCTGGGAATCAAACCTGGGTCCTCTGCAAAGAAACAGCCCATGCTCCTAATCACTGAACAGTCTCTCCAGCCCTAGAATTTTTCCCAATTAGCTCATTATAGGTACTTAGTTCTCCCCAGGTTTGGGTGAGAAGTATTCAGGCGTACTCTTCCTTCTGTGGCTGTGTAAGAATGCTGATAATGTGAATGTGCACAGATAAAAGAACATGTTAATAGAAAATTTTCCCATTAAGTTTTTCCAGGACCCAGTGACAGATTTCTGCTTAGGATTTAGCAATGTCCAGTTAAAACTGTTTTCTTTGAAGACAGACTTCACCATTACTGAGTCATTAATTAGACTATATTCCAATCATAAGGCCACAGTGCATGACTTTACTAATAGTATCTTTTGAATACTACACTGTGCTGGATATATTAGAAACCAGAACAAAACTTCTTTGGGGCCAAGGAGATAGGTAGGTAGGTAAAAGCACTTGACACACAAGCCTGAAGTCTTGAGTAGACGACTCCAGAGCCCATGTAGATAATAAACAGTGATGTGTCCCTGTAAGCTGAGCACTCCTACAGATGAGAGTGAGAGTCCACTGTGAAGAAACAAGGGGTGGTGTCTCAGACGGAAAGTCAGAGCTAACTCCCATGCATACTGTGGTACATGTGCAAGTTTCCACATGCAATAAACAATAAACATTTTAAAAAGTACAGATTATAGATAGCGAAAGAAAGTTTAAAATACTAAAGAATTTTAATTATAACTGTACTTAAGCTTATCTTTTAAATTTTATTTAGTATAATTTTTTTCTTTTTGGAATTTTCTAGTAAACGTGATCCTTAGATATAGGAGGAAGGAAAATATCATTTTACCCTTTTCTTGGTATTGTTTTTGGAAACTTGACATTATGTTAACAACTTCAAGTGTCAAGGTTCTGGAAAAGGCCTGACCTTAGATACTCAGCAACTTTTCCAATGAGAATTAGAATCTGATATTTTTTAACCCTATGGAGTAATTTTTTTCTCCATTTTATTATTTCTGATTCATGATTATTTAACTATTAGGTATTTTCCTTAAAAAATTTCTTTGGTTTTAAAATTGCTGATTTAGTTTAACAAATTTTAGTGATTTAGTTGAATAACATTTTAGATTATAAACAACCATTTAATCTGTCTAGTTTCAGGCCCTTGTCTACTTTAGCACTTTTCCCTGCTAAGACTTCTTACCGGCTTGTGTTTGCAATTTTTGAAGTGCCTTTCAGAAGGAATTTAAAAAATTATTTCTGAGAAAACTATCTTTGGTAATTGGAGGCAATCAGTGGAAAAATGCAATCTAAAATAATTAATGTAGTATTAGTTTTGTTTTTTGATATGTGCCAATTACTCGTAACTTCAATCTGAATGATCCTCATGGAAGGAGCTTTGTTTAAAAGTACAATTGTTCTTCTAAGATAGCTGCAGAGAAAGCAGTCATGCTCGAGAGACACGATCATCGTCTCCTGCCTCCTGGTTTTTCACTTTTAAATTGTGTCAGAAATTATTAGGAGAAACTCCATGCAAACAAGCGCTGTTTCTGGGACAGGTGCACTCTGGATAAACAGTGGGGACTCTTCCATGCTGAGAATTATTTTTTTAATCTTTCTTATCCATTGAGTAGTTTGTTTAACTCATCACTTGATAATTTTGTTTGTTATCTTGGATTCTTTCAGAAATGGGGGGTAGAGCCCCTTTTCTTATGTAAATAATTATAGTCTGAGGTGCCAGACTTACTAATCTTTTAAGTATAATTTTATACTTAATTGTTTTGATACCAGAATTGTGGATCATTTCATAGTCAGTGTATTTTTCACAATCTGCTACACCGCTCTCTTCTTTATTGATTAGATCCATAGGAATCCATGTTTCTACCAGTCCTCAGAGAAGAGCCAGCTCTCGCCAATGGAGACACATGTGTGGAGCCGGCTGAATCCTGGGGATAGCTTTTCCTTGTTACTCGACAAGTACGCTTTCCGTGTTTTCTCTGCAGAATCTGAAGTGGAAATGGAGTGTACTCTAAGGTAAGATTGCCTGGTGAGAAGTGAGTGAGTAATAGTGTTTGTATCCGGTTCCTCCACCTTCCCTCATGCTTCAGGGAGGTCATTCTAGGGCTGAGCCATATTTGGGCGGCAGTAGTCACATAATTTGTTTTTCTGGAAAACACTTGGCTTTGGATACTTCAGCCTTGTGGTGTTTGCTCCAATGTGTGCTGTCTTTTACCTTTGTATTCCTAATGTTTCCACAAAACAGAAAATCAGTTACATGTTTCCTTGATTTTTTAGCTTTCTTAATTTTTAAGGTATTAATTCTGACTCTTACAGGTGAACTTTCTTATAACACTATAAAGTACAGAGTTGGAGGACTGAAGATATTAGGTAGTAGAATAACTGCTAAATTACAAACTAGTTCCTGAGCTAGGTGCTAGGCAGCTGCTGGGCTTCAGTTTTCAGGCTTTAAGTGACAGAGTTCAAATACTAGACCCATAGAACTAATTAAAAATATTAAATATATATTATTTATGATATATCACATATTATTTATGATATATCATATGTGATGTATATTGAGTAGTTTGTTTAACTCATCACTTGATAATTTTGTTTGTTATCTTGGATTCTTTCAGAAATGGGGGATAGAGCCCCTTTTCATATGTAAATAATTATAGTCTGAGGTACCAGACTTATATTCATATTATAAATAAGTATGAAATATACATTTCTTGATATCGTTGATGTTTTTTTGTATTTTGGAGCTACCTCTATTTTGCATTTGTTACCATATCAATAACTTAAAACTGTTGTTTTCAGGCCTGTGTTCATTTGCTTGACATTGAAAAGCCAATACATGGCAGAGAGTTGGTAGAAAAGCAAGTGTCCTCAAGAGACAGCACCCTAAAAAGTGGAGGGGGCTTTCTTCTCCCAGAAGACCATCTTGGGGAGGGAGAAGAGATGCATGGGCAGTGTGGTAGGACAGCCGTGTGCTGAGTGTCAGAAGGCAGCATCTTCATCATCAGGCGTGGGCTTTTTCTTTGTATTTTATTTTATTTTAATTTATTTTCCTGACTGGAAACTCAAAACTCCTAGGGCTAATAATCCCTGTGTTCCTTAAGACAAGCCCAGTATTTGTCTGCAGGTTATCCATCCCAGCAGGTCACACACAGACATGGGATAAGGAGGGATGTCTTATTTTCTGATGTTATCTGAGGGTTGCCACGTGTTCTAGTTTTTAAAGAAAGATTATAGCAGTTAAGGGCTTAGTCATCTAGGTGTTTTGTATAGAATGTAGAAGAGAAAGGGAGGTAGGGGAAACTCTGCCAAACACAACTGCTAGGAGTAGCCACTGTTACGCTTCAGTATTCAAACATTGAAATCTTCATAACAGTGACTGTGAGGGAGCCACACTACTGATATCTCTGTTGCATTTGAAGAAACCAGAGAAGTTTTGAGACTTGCCTAGGGTTACATGACAGGTCCAGGTTCCAGACTAGTATTTCCAGAATGATGCTCTTACAGACTACCCACTGCTGTACCAGAATGACTGTCTGGGTCCCACTGTGCAAGTACCTAGAGGATGGTGAAGTCAACCTGGTGTAGTCTTACACTGGAATGAAGTAGGGAAGGAGGAAGGGAGGGAGGGAGGAGGAGAGGGGGAGGAAAAGACAGTGGATGTTAGTTCCATGTTGAAACCTGTGACTGTGAGGGAAGTTCCAAGTATGTGAAGTGTATTTTGCATTCCTCCTGCATCCCCAGCAGTGGGTGCAGGGTGGGGGTCGGTACCTTGATTATCAGATTGAGGGATACTGTGATAAGGTAAGACTTCTTTCCTTGGCTAAACTTCATTGATGATGCAGAAGGAAGTAACACAATTTTGTCCCTTGCGGAGATTTTCTTCAAGATAGTCTCAAGGAAAGTTCAGTAAATTTTTGTCATATTATCTTATTTTTCCAAAGTATTAAAATTCTTAACACTTACATTCCATACAAATAATTGCTGGTTTCAAGTACTAATTTTGAACAAAGCAATAAAATGTTGACAGAAATCTCATTTTAATGTGACAATAAATAACTTTAACATTCATTTGTAATTACAGAAGGGTGTGGATTTGGATGGGAGAGGAGCTGGGAGGATCTCAGAAGGGAAGGGATAAAGGATTCAGAATATATTATATGAAAAAAAATGTTTACATAAAATATAAAAAAAAATAGAAATAAAAATAATAGAAATAAAAGAAAAAGGAAAGGAAAAGTTTATAAAATCATTTGTAATTTGTTTAAAATCAGTTTCTTTGTATTAGCATATTTTATATTAAAGATATAAATGAACCCTTAAGGATAACTTAATTACCAATACAATCTTAAGTATGAGGACTATTACTGAAGAACTCACATTTCTCAATTTCAAAACCAGCTACAAAGCGCAGTCATTATGTCTGGCATAATGGCAGACATAGCTCAGAGGAGTTGAGGGTTCAGAAATGAGCCTTTGCTTTACTGGCCCTTACTTTGGACAGGGACACCAATTCTAATCAAACAGGCTCAAGTCGGTTGTCGAGATGGTACTAGAACAGCTGATAGCCACAAGGCAAAAGCAAGATTAGACTTTCACTGTAGATCACACACGAGTCAAAGTGGATCAGACACCTAACTCTAAAGAAGGGAGCATAGGTGTAAATCCTTACCACCCTGCACCAGGTCTAACAGCAAAGTATCAGCATTTGATAAACTGGATTTCTCCCCATTTGGAAACTATGTATGTTTATGAAAACAGTCAAAAAACAAAAAGGACAAGTGAATGACAAAATATTTGTAAATCATATATGTCTATAACATCTGTATCTAGAGTATATAAGCAATTACAACTCAACAACAAAAGGAAAACCTGATTTTAAGATGTTCACCTGATTAGAATACATATTTCCTAAAATGAGCATGAAAAGATAGCACCACTAGTCACTGGAAATTTAAGTCAAATCTATAATGAGATACTCTTAACAATTTGAAAAAAATGCTGATTTCACTCCTAGGCATCTGTAGTACGTGTCGATATTAGCATATGGAGTGACTGGACTTCTCATCTACTGTGTGGTGTTAGGAATGCCACAGTTCATTCTCCTTGAATGCCCACATTGTGATACTTCTTTAGACTTAAAAATAAATGCAGCCGTATGGCCTGGCTCTGCCCCTGTTAGGTTTATGTCCTCGAATTGAAGTCATGTGTTCACACAAAAACATACACATGGATGCACACAGTAACATCATTCATAGTAGTCAAGGTAGGAAACAAACTGAGTGTCTGTCAGCGTTTGAGTGGGTGGGCAAATCCAGAATAATCTAGAAAGGGAGATAGTTCCTGTCATTTCTTATTATTCTACCATTGAAGTTCAAGTCTGTCTTTGAAAGAGGTTATTCCTTATTTTAAAACTTCTGAAAGAAAAACTTAAAACTGTCAATCGGACTTTTCAGTTACACATTTCTGAAATCTCTTATCTTCAGTCTTAGAGGTATATTTATTTTCATTTTGTGTATGTGAGTGTTTGCCTGCACGTATGTGTGTAGGAGCACCATATATGTGCCTGACATCCACAGAGGCTAGAGGAAGGCAGTGGGCTTGGAGTAACAGACAGTTGGGAGCCATCATGTGGGTTCTGGGAGCTAAACCTAGGTCCACGGCAAGTGCTCTTAGCTGCTGATGGCTCTCTTCAGCCCTGGCCCATGATTTTTAAAGACTAATGTATGATGTGATAATATATGAAAACCGTGGACTGTAGTATTAACTGTGGTTTTAGCCTTTAGTTAGACAGAAGGAGCCCAACACCCCAGTGAGAAGTCCTCAGATGCATAGAACTGAGCAGCTTCAAGGCTGCCACTAGACGTGTTATAAATGATAGAAAACAAAGTTCCGTTTTATTTTATAGAAACAGTCAGATGCTTGATGAAGGTGATATATTGAGTGAGATGCAGAAGTCCCCTGTGGTTGACTTACCTGATAAGACAACTGGTGCCTCACAGCTACAAGGAAGCCCCGGAATAACCAAGACCAACTGTCCCACCATAGATCCTATGGTGAGAAACGTAAGACGCACCATTCTAACCTGGTCTTTATTTCAAGAAGAGAAAAGACAACTGAAATCATGCATGCCATGGGTTTGTAAGTTAGTCTGTAGAGAAGGTCACACTAGGCTGACACTTAGGCTAATAGGTAATGAATTTCTTGTAAGAACTTTAACCTTTGTGGATAGCTATGTCAATGCTAATTTTCTTCAAAGTAAATCCTTTTTCAGATTCCCTAAGGATGGGTGGTTACCTTTAGGAAACTATTTATGCTGTTCTTTTAGTCCTCTTCAGATGAATGCAGAGCTCTCAGTGAGCACCAGCCAAATCCTACCCAGAGGAAAAGAATCCTCCCAGTCTGGATGTTAGGGGAAAGTCTAAGTGATCAGAGCCTTTCCACACCTGTTGAGGGTGGAGGTAGGTTTCTGTTTTTGTTGATGTTGAGTTTCAAGGAAACATAAAGACAATGTCAAGGTTCTTTTCAGCAAATAGATGTAGAATGGTGGTTGCACGTGGTATAGGTAGCCTGGGACTTAAATTCCAAGGTGTGGCTTATTGATAGCTGTCTTCTCTATGTATCATGTCACATACAGACACAGACACAGACACACAGATACACACACACACACTCAAACGAGTTGCTTCCATTTTGGTATGATTGATATTCCTATTGATAATATAAACACTTGCTAAACTGCATAGTCTTGGGGATGGATCAGGTTTTTGCATAGAGCTGAACAGAAGATAGGATAATAACATACAGTTAAACAAGGAGGCAGGCTTACTTAATATCATTAGGAACTGCCTCTGTAGAATAGTCTTCAGGCCATAAATATCCAGGGGGAGAAAGCTGTGGTGAATAGTTTCTGCACACATTGTCAACAATCCATGGAAGGCTTTGCCCAACCCTCTTGGAGCTGAGACATTGCCCATGCCAACAACACACATTCACTTAGGACTTCCTTTGTCCCTACAGGCACTTTGGCATTTATTTCCTGAACTGCTTCTGGCCCCTTGAATGTTCTTCAGAATAAGGCCAAGAGACCGAGGCCCATAGGCCAGATCTGGCCTGCCTCCTTTGATAAGTAAACCTGTGTTGGAATCCAGCCATGCTCAGCTGTCTGTATCTAATGGCTACTCTCTGTTATGAAGGCAGAGTTGAGTAGCTGTTGTAGATGTGCCATGGCCCACAGAGCTTTATATTCTGTCTTTTTTTTTTTTTTTTGGAAAAAGATTACTAATCTCTCCTTAGAACAACAATGACTACAGAATGTTTGCATACTTATATCTTAGCTCTAAGGGATTCTTCAGACAAATTTTGGTTATATTCATAATTTACTTAGTCAGAATTTGAGCACTGGTTTTATAAGAGGTGTATTTTATTGTTTTTCAGGGCACATAAAGTCTGTCCTCTTGGGGTTCTCAGTGGAGTGTAGCAGACACAGTCAGCCATAAATATTTTTCTCTTAGTACAAAGTTTACTTAATCTTTTCAGATTAGATGATTATGAATTTGTTGTCAGATGGGACACTGACTGAGGTTCACCAACTATGGTTACTTTTTTATGGTTGAACTTTGGTTACTATATATAATTCGATGTTCGTTGTTACTGAGAGTTTTTAATTTTCAAAGTATAGAGGACATTCTCTCTCTGAGGTTTTGGAGTTTCTAATCTATATTTGAAATAAGTTGGATTCCTAACTCGATGGTGGACATTCAGGATATAAAATTCACTGGGTTATTCTGTGAGCTTTTCTCTTAGAGAAAATTAATGCTACAATTAAAAAAAAATCATAACTAATATGTCAGGCCCTCTCATGTACTTCTGGTGACTCTGAGTTCTTACAGTCCCCTTTTGCAGATGTAAGCGGTGTTCTGAAAGTTGTAGTGAAACAGTTACAGCGGGCACCATGCATCTCAGCCTGGTGCACTCTGGGGCTGGTGTCCTCAGCCACCATGCTGCGGAATGCTATTTGGGATTTGTAAATAAGTGTTTTCCCAGTGGACATTGCTGTAAATGCGACTTTGATTTTGTAGGTGTTCATCCCTGTCATTCAGGCATGATCCCTTAAGATGGGATCTCTCACTGAATCTGGAGCTTGCTGGGCTTTGGCTTCACTGGCTGGCATCAATCCCAAGTGATCTTTCTGTCTTTGCCTCTCCTGCCACACAGTGCTGGGGTTACAGGCCCGCAAAGTCCTCCCCCACTTTTTTTTCTTTTTCTCATTTTGGTGTTGGATATCCACATTCAGATTCTTAAGCTTGCACAGCAAATTATCTTACCCGCTGAGCCGTCCCCCAGCCTGTGAGCCACTTGCTATTTGATCCTTTTAGCTATGTGGAGTATTGCCCTTTGAAGATACAGGAAGTCACTTTCTTCTTATTCTTTGTATCTGTGTGTTTGTGTGTATGTTAGATAAGGCTGCCATCCAGAGGAGTGGAAAAGAAGGAACCTGTGAAGACAGAACCCCAGTGAACACAGCATGGCATGGGAGAAAGCGGTTTATTCCATCAGGAAATCCAAAAAGTGTGTCAGCAGAACAAGACCCTGGGAAGAAATGCAGAAAATCTGGCCAAGAAGGACCAGGTGTTTCATCTGAGGTGATTAAAACTGTGTTGTTTTTTTTTTTTCTTTGTCAGGTATTTGAGACAGGAATAATTGTTCCTTTCAGCCCTTTGGAGAAGATCAGGTGATAGGCATGAATCATGTGCTGGATTTATAAAAAAAGAAACCTAAGCTGCCTTTTAATTTGTGTTTATGTAGTTAAAAACTAGCTCAAATGTTTTTGCTTTACTGAAATATAATTTTTAATATAGAGGAATAATTTGCATTGTTGGATATTGTTTGAAATATTTGACAGTATTTCACACTAGAGAAAGGTGGAGACCTCTTGGCACTGGTTTTAATTTGGCCTCTGTTCTGAAGGCTTGGTTGTGTCCTCTGTGGACTTCATAGAAGCATTGTGGGTCAGCGTGGTGAGGAGACAGATGGTGGAATGGATCCTCACAGAGCATGGGGCCGCTATTCTGCTGTGGCTCTATGGTGGTTGTAGATGTTCATTCCTCATTCAGTGTGTACAGTTCTCTAGAGTGGTCTGGCTGAGCTGACATTTCCTCGATGCTGGTTATTCAAAAAAAAAACCAAGACCCGTTTATTATATGATGTTTTTATTTTTTTAACGTGTGGAAGCTATAGCACATTTTATTAACATAAGCCAGGCATTAAAACAACAATACTTTTATTTATTCTTTGGGAATTTTGTATAATATACCCCCTCATCTCTCACACACCCTCCCCATCCTTTTATCCCTAGCCACCTACCTGAGTTTTCTTCTCCTGACCCCTGTCCGTCAGGTTCACTGAGTGCTGCACACAGGGTTAGTTAGGAGTGAAGTCTGCACTGATACGCACTTGATCTCCAGGGTCACATCATCAAAGAGAACTGAGCGCCCCACCCAGCAGTCACCAATATAAGAGCTCCTCACTGCTGAGAATTCATGCCCAGTGTCTCCCCTCTGTGCTGGCTTCTGGGTAGCTTGAGCTTGCACAGGGCTTGGACATACTAATGCATTTAACTTCATTGAGAGGTGGCCCCAGGGCAGGAAGTCTGCACATTTTTCTTCCTTTCAGAGTGATAGCTTAAGGTGATACTTTTCATGGACTTGTAGTCCACTGGCTGAGCTCTGTGGGTCTCTCAGTCTCAGGAAGCCATGCTGGCCCTGCCTTGGAACAGGATCCACTGGGTCATTGAAATGTCAGCAGCTGTCCCTGAGGTCAGTCTCATGGCTTCCTTCAGATTCACATCCTCTCCTAGGGAGAGACCTGACTCCTTAGCACCTCTCCCAGCTAGAGAAGTAGATCCAGTCTCTAAGACTCAGTGTCTTCGCTTACTGATGGGGCCAAGTGTAATAAAATAAGATGAATTCTGGCTCATATATATCTGCCTTTAAATCTTAATAAAATAGAATTTATCTTATTTAAGCTTCTAGCCTTCATACACTCTATTTGAACAGTAAGCATATCAACTCACTTTGCCTATTTTATAAGAAATTATTTAGAGAACATTAATATATGTTTTAATATGCTTTATCCTGACTAAGTTTGATAATTGTAAGAAAGACTTTAAGAAATACCCTTTTAGCTCATAGCAGGGGGGAAGAAGTAAGCAGATCTGAGTTATTCAATGGTTTTGCCAGGCCTTGATGACGTCAGGAGACATCATATAACAGAGCAGGAGGGACCCCAGAGCTCCACTTGGATGACTGCTCTGCCCTTAGGGGTTTACTTCTCTTTGCCCAGTAGGAAGAGGCCCAAGCTCTCGTGACCTCTGTGCTGGGCTCTAGTGAAGCTGAACCAGAGATCATGGCTAAAGCTGAAGGCCCAAGCCAGACCCTCCATGTCTGCCAGGTTTTTGTCTTAGGTCTTATCCCTGGAGAGCAGCCAGTCCAGATGGGATAGCACAGTGAAGAACAGGAGACAAGCTCGCTCTGAGAGGAAACAATAGGTAGGGTACCCATCTAGTTTGATGCGTGGAGGATGTGTGGACCTTATAAGAACCCAGAACAATATCCAGTAGAGTAGACATTCTCTTTAAAAAGACTGAAAAACAAATTGGAGAGAAGGCAGAAGAGTCACCCTCTGGCCCATTTCCTGCCTGTTTATAAGCAGTGCCTTAAGTGTACACCTGCAATATGAACTCAAGGAGGAGAACCATTGACGTGTCATCCTTCAGAACCTGCAGGAAACTGACACCCGAGATCACACTGCTAGGAAGCTCTAGGCTCAGAGGAGAAGCCTCTGTGCACAGCGGGGATTTTCCTGTTGTACACCTTGGACTGTGAGCGAGTTTTGTGACTAGTACTCTTCTCTTCATGAAGTTAATCGTTCAGTGTAGGATCTTGTCAGGCCTCACAGGTCTTCTGCTGTCCTCACAGGTTATGTAACTGTCCAGCTTATGGTCAGAATGAGGGCTCTTGAATTGATCAACAGAAAGGTCACTGCTGTGGTTTCCATGCTCCTATCTCCTCTGACAGTCCACACTGAAACCTACTCTCCCTGTGCAGTAGCTTTGGCAAGTGCTTGCTTGGTAGACTGCATTCACCAGTGGGTTAAAGTGGTTGAAACAGACTACAGAAGTGGGTTTGCTTCTCTCACTCTGCTGCCACAAGAGATACAAGGGCTCATCTTCCTGTCTTCTGCCTTGTCAGACATGTTTGTCCTCTCTTCCTTTCTGCCCTAAGATGACAGAATAGGAAATTCCACATCAGATGCCAGCAACTTATCATGGTCTTCCCAGAACTCAAAACGGAGAGAATATATTTTTGTCACCTATAAATGACTTAGTCTGATTAAGGCAATAGTATTTCTTTTACGCAGTCTAATTAGAACTGCCACAGGCAGCAGAAGGAAGCTCAACCAAAACACCTGCCTCAAACTGGTATCAGTAAATTATTAAGTTATTGCTTACTGTTATCAAAGCAAGCCCAACACCTACCACTTAGCACAGTGACTTACGATTTCTTACAAAATCTATGAGTTAGCTGGTCTCAGTTGGATACTTCTTTATGGCATATTTTTGGTATTAGCAGTGGCTAGAGCATCCTGAGTGACTTTGTTCACACGAATGGTGCCTCTGCAAGGACTGATGGGATATCTGAGAGCTGGTTGTGCCCTCCACTTACCATTAGGTAGTTGAGACTAAATCTCTTTACCTGACAGCTGGATCCCAAAAAGGTAACGTTAAAAACTGCTGAAGAGGTGGAGGAAGCATTGTAGAAGTCAGACGGGTCAAGGACACTACAGGAAACCCCACAGAACCAACTAATCCGGGCTCATAGTGTCTCACAGAGACTGAATTGACAACCATGGAGCCTGTGTGAGACTGACTTAGGCCCTCTGCACATTTGTAACAGTAGTTCAGCTTGGTCTTCTTGTGGGACTCCAAACAGTGTGAGCAGGGGTTGTCTCCAACTCTGTTGCCTGCCTTTGGGACTCTTTCTTCCTACTGGTTTGCCTAGTATAGCCTTAAAAGGAGAGGAGGTGTCTAGTCTTACTGTAACTTGGCTGGTTACATGGTTCTATGGCTGGTTGATATCCATGGGAGTCCTCTCCTTTTCTGAAAAGAAAGGGGAGGGTTACGGGGACACACACACACACACACACACACACACACACACACACACACACATTTTGATTCAAACTGAAAAAAATCGGCTTAACCATCTGTCAGGTCAGAGGGCTCTAGGATGAAGTTTAAATGTATTATGACAAGACATGTATCTTTGGATATTGTTAAGAGAATTCTTGTTCAAATGCTTCTCTGAAGCCAGCATTTTCTTCCTGCTATATTTCTCTTTCAAGGTCAGAGAGCTTACAAAAATGTTTGAAAAAAAAAAAAAAAAGAAGGCTGTCAGATCATTTAAGGTCGAGAACTAGTACTGGTATAATGTCATTTCTACTGAACTTTTTAGTCCTGGAAATTCACGAGGTTCCGGGTGGATGACAGGGTAACTATAAGTTGGAAAGCGAGGGAGAACAAATACATCCTGAGAGCCTCTAATTCAAAAGTAAAAAAAAAAAAAAAAAAAAAAATTAAAATACCTCAAAATCTGAGACTTTCTCCATACTGACAAGATTCTCAGCTCACTTGAGACTTGGATAGTTTCAGACTTTGTTGCTCAACTCTAAATCTTTATAAGTACTCCAAACTCCAAACCTCAGAAATCTTAAGCATTTTTTGGTCCTAACCATTTGGGATAAAGGACTGCCAGTTAGCTGTTGACCTTAGAAATTTGGATAGAAGGAAGTGTGAGTGGGGCCCTTCACAGGAGGAGGGCCTGAAAATATATTGACCACAGACTCTTTTAGTCTCTAGAGAGAGACTGGAAGAGACAAAGTAAAATCTCTGAGACAGGGAAGGGAAATGGTGGTCATGGTGACATGATGAAGAAATGCAGACTTTAAGCCACTTGGGGGCAGCGAGGCATATGATTGGAAAAGTATCTGAGAAGCAAAGCTACCATGCTTGAAGTCTGGGTCTGGGGGAAGGAGGAGGGATAAGACAGGCTCCAGGTTTCCAGCAGGGATCGCAGAAAACGTTAGAGACATTATGGCAGAGAATCATAGGTAGTTTTCAGTCTCAGGGAGAGACTTCCCAGAAAGAAATACTTAGCTAGTGTTTGAACCATCAGTCTGAGGCTTGTTTATGAAACAGAATTTTCCACTATTCTCCTGGGAATGTTAAGGGAGCTGATACAAGACTTTAGGGCAACATATCAGCATGGTCATTTCTGCCAAGAGCAGCTTGGAAACAACAAATCACCTTGCTGAATTTATGTCGGGGGAAGGACTTTATTCCACCCCTTGCAATATATTGAAACCAGACCGGTGAGGGGCAGGGAAGTGCTTCCTAGACAAGTTGATAAACTATTTTAATGATCTTAATGGTGTATTCTGGTCTTCCTCAAAGGACCACTAGCCTCATGATCTCTGAAGCCTTAGACACACACCTTTACTTTGAAGATGATCTTTCTGCTGTTACTCTGACTCGATAGCCTCCCAGGCTTAGTCCTTAACCTGTCCATCAAATCAAAAATAAGCAGCGGTGGATGTTAGTGGATCTAAAGCTCTCGTTCTTCTGCTTGCTGTAAGTGCACCTTACATTTTTTCCTGTCCCCTTACCCACCAGGTCAGTGTCTTCCTCAAGCCCATGAGCTTTGGAATTGGCACAGATCAAATTTATGTATCAGCAAACTTAAAAATTACTGTGTATAATGGATTTTGGGATCATTTATGAATAATTGAAACCAAGAATGTTAAATTCTTGAATGCCAAGGATGCTATATATTAATATTGCATGGAGTTCCATAAAGAACATTATGATTTCCAACTTTTGTGTCTCTCATTTGATTTTTTTTTTGGTTGGGGTGGTGATGTCTTAGGTCTCTTTACATAATCCTGGCTGCCCTGGGACTCACTCTGTAGACCAGATGGCCCCAAACTCACAGAGATCTGCCTGCCTTTGCCTCTCAAGTGCTGGATTAAAGGCATATGCCACGTGCCCAGCTGTCTCTCTTATTTGAAATCCTCTAACTTATAGTATTGACATCTGTGATTTTTATGTTTCTTTCTCTCTAAGAAAGTCAGCATGTTATGCATATTCCTTGTGAGGAACTAAAGGTTAATTTTTAATGAAACAGATTCTTCTGTATGTTCCTTGGAACTACAGAGAGTTGGACTATGATGTGATACATTTCATTCTCTGATTTTCATTTCTGAATAGCAGAATAATATATGCTTATTGCATGTCTTATTATTTAATTTAGTCATATAATTGCACATATTATTGTAAATAGAATATCCATAAGCATATTTATTAAAGATGAAAACTTGCATTGGACTCCTCCTCTGGTTCCATTGTTGTACTGATTTTTGTAGCAGTACAAATTCTTCACCTGGATTTATACAGACAAACACACACATGCACATATAAAGATGCTGCATTTATTTTCAACATGGCCTTCATGTCCTGATCCTTCTGTCACAGCTTCCCAAGTACTTTGATGATGAGTATGTGTAACTGCACTTGGCTATGAGAATTTTTTTAATTTAAAATTTTTGAGAGTCTCATGCTTGAATACTAGATTTACATAATTTCTACTCCCTTCCCCCACTTCCACTTAAGTTTATGATCCCTTCCTCTTTAATTATTGCTAAAAGCACATGCACACACCCACCCTACATTTGCTTATATGTGCGTGTGTTTAAGCCTTCCCCCTGGGGCCCACCCCTGGATTAAACTGATTCTCCCTCTCAGCAGCAGTTGGTTGCCTGTAGCTTGTCATAGGGTGGGGTTGAGTTTTTCTTTTATCTGTGTTGGCATTTCAGATGGGCTCATTTAGACAGCTGTATTGTTGAGGATTGGTACAGCTTCCCTGTCATGTCTGGTAGACATTGTCTTGTGGCAGGTATATATGGTCCTCTGCTTCTTACAGTTTTTTCTGCCTCATCTTCCATGACTTCCCCTGCGCCTTCGGTGTAGGAGTCGGGTCTGACAACCCACTGTCACTTGTTGTCTACGTTTGGCTGATTGTGGATCTCTGTGATAGTCATTATCTGCTGCAAAATCTTTGATGGGGTGTGGTTGTGTGAGAAATGACTTAAAAACAGTAAACACCAACATAGAATGATCCTGTTCTCTACAGCTTCAGAGGAGCTAGGGATGTGCCTCAGTGGGTAAGAACACTTACTTACTCTGAAAGCATGAGAACCCAAGTTCAGATCTCCAGCACCCACATGAAAAGCCAGACACAGCTTCACTTGCCTGTCACCCCAACATTAGAGGGAAGGGATGGGCAGAGCCTGAGAGCTCTCTGGCCAGCAGCCTAGCCAAAAAGGCAGAGTTTGGATCCAGGGAGATCCTATTTCGAGCTAGTAGTGTGAAGAGTAAGAGGGAAAGACACTGGAGGTCTTGCTCTGGCCTCTGCATGTGCATACGTGGGCATGCATGCACTGCCCCTACAGACACATCAAGAAGATAAATAAAGCCACCTTTTAAATGCAAGCCTGTCACGCCACCATTAGTTCAACATCTCCACAATATTTTATAGAAAGGATGTATTCTAATTTATTTTATAATTTTCAATGTGTTTCTTTGTATAAGATGTTGAATGGGGATTATTCTCTCTCCCCCCCCCCCAAACACACACTTCTGCTGGCTCCACAATATCCCATGTTTGGAAGGAACCCTAGTGGTGAGAATCACCCCTTTCCCATGGGCATGAGAGTTGTTTACCCTTTCACCTCCAGGCTTGTACAAAGATTTCTGAGAAGCTGAGCCCTTTAAGGCACAGCGTGGCACAGGGGGGCACAGTGCTTCTGATCATCACTTCCTTCATTTCTAAGGATGGAGAATGACTTACAGAGTCTAAAAATGCCACAGGAACAATAATCTAACAAGTTCTGGGCTATTTGCTCAGCTGCCAGACTTATTGACTCACCTGTTGTAGAACAGGAATGAAGGGAATGGAGAACTGTAAAGCAGGCTGGAATTGAGGTGTGGTGGGGAAACTTGGAAGTAGAGTGTATGGTTTAGAGGGATGTAGCATAAAGATGCCACCACCCAAGGGTGAGTTACAGGAAGTAGCCAACTGACTGTTGTTGCTAGATTCTCTGCTGCTGCCCAGAGCCATGAGAAGGTCTACACTCCGTCGAGAGTGTGATTAGCCAGTATGAATAGTATTTTGAAGTTATACTTTCTTTTAAAAAATATTGAAACATTTAAATATTTAGTCCAAAAGAAGTCATGTGAATAGTACGTTAAGAAATTTGAAATATTAGCTATCTATTAGTACTAAAATCAGCTTTTGCCAGATGGCAGCCAACAGCCCCAAACTCTTGCTTAGAAACGAAGGGGAACATTCATGAGTGTTTGGTGTGTGCTCTGTATATCTTTGACAAGGTTACCAAGGAGACTTGTGTTAAACAAGCAATGTTTCTGCTCCACAGAAAGTGGAGTACTTGCGAGATCCTTTTTTAAGACTAGGCTTACTCATTATGCCAGTGGCCAGAACAAATTAAGAAGGTATACAATGGTGACTAGAATATCTCCTTTTTTGTCAATTTTTTGATTTTTGAGAATTTTGTGTGAGTATAATACTGATCATCTCTACCCCCCACTTCCAACTCTTCCTGGAGTTGTACTCCCTCTCAAATTCACGTCCCTCTCCTTCTTTTCCTTTCTGTTATTATTTATTATACTGAAGCCCACTGAATCTAGTTAGTGTTGCCTATATGCACATTGGCAAAGTGCTAACCACTAGGATGTGGGCAACCTACCAGGAGGTTCATCCCTAAAGAAAAGTGACTGTCCCTCAGTAAGCCGTCTCCTGCCTGGAGTGCCTCAGCCAGGGACAGGACCTTATGAGCTGGATGGTGTCTACCCATGCAGGGATGCTGACTAGTGTGGTCAGTCTTGTGCAGGCAGCCATGACACGAGAGTTCATGAGTGTCTGTTCCTGCCATGTCCAGAAGACACATCACAGCACTCTGCTCTCACAGTCTTCCGACCCTCTCTTCTGCAGTGTTCCCTGAGCCTTGGGAGTAGGGATTGGATTGTAGATATCTCACCAGAGGGTGAGATCTCGGTCGCTTATTCTCCACCCTCTGCCCAGCTGTAGTTAGTTATCTGGGAAGGGAAGCCCTTTGATGAGAAGGACAGTAATCTGTAGGCATAAGGATCAATATTATAAAGCAGTTATATGTTTTATCCACTTAACAAGATGGTGGTTGGTGGCTCTCTAGGCTTAACTGGCTAACCTGACACTTTTATCAGATCATGTCACAGGAAAGTCTCTTGCTTTCTGCAGCTGGTGGTAGCATTCCCTCACACAGATTCATCTGTAGATGTGAGCCAGTTTTGTCATTCTGCCCTGTGAAGAATACCATGGCTTAGAGAGAAGTTCCAAGGTCACTTTAAAGAAATTAGAAGGACAGTGCCATGTAAGAGCCTTTTGAGTGAGATTATGTGACAGCAAACTAGAGTATCTTCCTATAGCTGGGTGATGGTGCTGCACGCCTTTAATCCCAGCATTGGGAGACAGAGGCAGGCACATGTCTGAGTTCCAGGCCAGCCTGGTCTAAATAATGAGTTTCAGGATAGCCAGGTCTACAGAGTTGACCCTGTCTCAGAAAATAAGAAAAAAGCAAAACCAAAACAACAGCAAAAAGAAATAGAGCATCTTCTCAAGTTTCCTTTGTATGTTTTCTAGCTATTTTTACTAAATATCTGACATAGTTGTAGAGGTTCATTATAGCTGTAAATTGATATTGTAAGAACTACAAATTGTTAAAAAGTTTCTAAACAAAAAACAGAAAATGGTATCTTTGGTAACTTTAAAATAGGCTTGAAGTTTTAAGTTTTTTTTTTTTTTTTGTATCACAGAACTTGTATTTTTGTCCTCTTAGACTTTAATTTATATATTTCTTTTTTTAAAAGCTTGCTCTTTTTTTTCTTTTTGGTGTTTTGAGGCAGGGTTTTTCTGTATAGCCAGGCTGTCCTGGAACTCACTCTGTAGAGCAGGCTGGCCTCGAACTCAGAAATCCACCTGCCTCTGCCTCCCAAGTACTGAGATTAAAGGTGTGCGCCACCACTGCCTGGTGTTTGCTTTTTTTAATGATGCCTTTTCTGTATTTCTTTTATAGAATGTTCCAGACTCTTCATCTCCAGTCACAGTAAGTGGCCCAGATGTGGATACTGTGAAGACAGATAAAGGGAGCAGTGCAGGTTCAATAGAGGAACTTGATGAAGTCTCTAAGTATAAAGCCACCACCAAATCAACCTCAAATGAAGAGGGCAAGGCAGTGAGCCATCCCGAGAGTCATGCAAGTGTCCAAAGCAAGTCATTTCCTGAGAAATCTCAAGGATGCCACCCTGAGTCCAGCTCTGCTCCCTCCAGTCCTGGTGCTTCACACACAGACACAGCTGATTCAGTGCTAAGCTGTTCAGAAGACAGCAAGGTCCGGAGGACGTCCTGCATGTATGGGGCCAACTGCTACAGGTAAGGCGGACCTGAAGGCAGCGCTTCAGCCCATTGCTTCTGTGCTGTTCTATACTGTGCGTATTAAAAGCCTAGTAAACCATTGCCTTACGGTCAGGAGCTTTGCTGCATTTCTACTGGGTCGTCCTTTCCCACTGTGCATTCTGGTAAGTCCTGCCAGAAGCTTTTAGGATGCAATGGGGACTTAAATGTTTTATGTGTAGACATGCTGACTAATGCAAGAGCCTGAATACTGGGGAATCTAGACTTAAAAGCTGAATCACACAGACTTAAATACCTGCTTGCTTAATAGCTTAACTTTAAAGAGATGCTTTTGGAAATAATTACTGTATTTTTTACTAAGGTAATTTTAGATTGTGTTTAGGCACTGTATTGTATTTCACTATTTTTCACATTTTTCTATAAAATAGAAAAATGTCTATTTTGATGCATTCAAATCATAATCTTAGTTTGAGAGTGTGGCGCAGCCTGTAAGGTTTATGGCAGCATGCATTAGTTGGTCTGTTTCTGTTGTTGGCTGTCCTGCTTGTCAAGCTGTGTCTGTGCTGCGTACCTGTCGTGTGCAGCATGTACCTGCTGTACATGTGTGTGCACAGTTTATGTTCACCATGGATTCTGTTCATTTCTCACTCTTGTCTTCCTCTTTAAAACACATTGTCATTTTAGCATTAGTGTAACTATATTTTTCACTTTTAACAGTTTTGAGTTTTAGATTTATGTATGATATTGTCTGTGGAATGTCCTTATGCCTAGAATATAATGTAAAAATCTACAGCAGATTATAAACCATCTCTTACTTTGGATTTTGAAAAAGTCCTGTTTTGTGTTTGTGTTAGTTGGCTAATGTAGCCGTAACGGAATACCACAGACTGGTGTGCCTTACTTAGAGAGTTGCCTTCTCTCCATTCTGGACATTAAAAATGCTAGCCAGGTTCTAGAGCTCCCAAGCCTGGCTTCTCTTCCTGTCAACGTTGAGGGTGGCTGCTTCCTTGGTGCCTTTTCTCTGCAGGGCATCCTCTGGTGTCTCTTCGTCACCTAGGAAGATGCCAGGCACTGTGTTGGGCTCTCAGCATTATGACTTGACTGAGTCTTAATTGTTTCTCTCATAGGGACATTGGACATTAGCACTTCTGACACAGAGGTTTTGAGGGGACACAAGTTCAGTGAATAGCAGGATTCAACCCTGTCATTCCCTTTTTTTTTTTTTTTTTTTTAAATATTTATTTATTGTATTGATGAGTACACTGTAGCTGTCTTCACACACCAGAAGAGGGCATCCAATCTCATTACGGATGGTTGTGAGCCACCATGTGGTTGCTGGGATTTGAACTCAGGACCTCTGGAAGAGCAGTCAGTGCTCTTAACCGCTGAGCCATCTCTCCAGCCCGTCATTCCCTTTTGTTAAAGGGGTAAATGTTTTACCAAATAAAAATTTATTTACTTATACTTTATAATGATATGTTAGTTTTAATTACTCTTACCTTTAGGCAGTAACTAACTTTTCATAGTTTTGGAATAAAGAATGCCTGAAATTTGTTTAAATTGAAATGTTTGTATTTGTAACCAAGAGAAGAAGTAACTTATTGAAATGCTTATATTTATAAACAAGGGGGAGAGTGGCATTTTGAATTTGAGATACACCCACATACCCACATACATACATATCTATAAAATCATTACAAAAATCTACCTGTTCTTCAGCCTCTGTATTACTGCTGTAAATTCTCCCTTCTATCAAAGGGTAATATCCCAAGTTTCTAAATTTTCTAAATTCACGTTCCTCTTTGTTTTTTGTTCTAATTTTTAAAAATCAATATACAAAGTAATAGGTTTTATTACAATATTTGCATGTATCTTAATTATAATTTATTATAATCTATCCCCTCTGATGTCCTCTATGCTCCTTCTTGTTTTCTGTTTTTTGAGATAGGGTCTCCCTATATATAGTATAGTTCTGGCTGTCCTGGAACTTGCTGGGTAGGCCAGGCTAGGCCTTGAACTCACAGAAATCTTCCTGCCTCTGACTCTGAGTCCTGGGCTTAAAGGTGTGTACCACCATGCCCGGCTCTCTGTGTGCCTCCTACCCTTTCCCTAACTTGCTGGTTTCCTTCCCTTCCCAAATAACCCCTTTCTGCTCTCATCTCACGGCCATTAAGTCACCCTCGATCTTTCTCTTCTTGAAGATCCAGCTCTCTCTTCAGCCTCTGTTGGTTAATGACCCGTAACTCCTGCCCCCAGTATAAACTTCATAAACGAGAAAAGTGTAGTATTTGTTCGACTCAGTCTGGCTCATTTCACTTAACATGATGGTTTGCAGTTCCCTCTGTTTCCCTGCACATGTTATGATATTTAGAATGTGATTCTCATGAGTATGCAGTAGAGTCCCTAGAGACCACAGAACATTATTGTTGTTAATGATCAAATGCAGAAACAAGGAGGAAAAGCCAGCTGCTTTTTCTTAAGCATGCATTACATCCTTATGATTTTATATTGGCACTAAAGAGTATATAAGGGCCAGTGAGATGGCTCAGTGTCTATGCTAGATAATTCTTTTCGTTGTCATCATTGTCATCACTGTCATCATCATCATCATTAATTTTGTCAGCTTGACACAAGCTAGAGTCATCTGAGAGGAGGGAACCTCAATTGAAAAATAATGCCTCCATGAAGTTGCGCTGTAGGCAAGACTGTGGGACATTTTCTTGATTGATGTGTGACGGCCCCACAGTTGTGGACAGTGTTAACCCTGGGCAGGTAGTCTTGAGTTGTATAAGAAAGCAGGCTGAGCAAGTCTTGAAGAGTGAGCAAGCCAGTCAGCAACATTCCTCCATGGTCTCTGCTTCAGGTCCTTCCTCCAGGTTCCTGCCCTGACCTCCTTCCATGATGAAGTGTGGCCTCAGAGTTGTGAGTGGAAGTAAACCCATTTTCCCCCAAGTTACTTTTGGTCATGATGTTTTATCACAGCAATCAAAATCAAACTAAGGTAGTGGGTAAAGGCACTTGCCACCAAGCCTTGTGACCTGAGTCAGGTCCCTAAAACACACATAGTCCAGGGAAAGAGTGAACTCTCCCCCACCCCCCCTTATAGGTGAATAACTAAATGCAAAGAAGATTTTTTAAAGATGTTAAGATATGCTATTTATAATATGGGAAAAATATTTTCATTGTTATTTTAAATAAATAAATGTACTTTTCTTATTTCTTGTTGTATGTAGCTTTTGCTACCCCGCCTAAGCTCCGCACTGCCAGCTCCCACCCAGCTAATATTGGATCCATGAATGAAAAACACAGACACACACACCTGTTCAATTTCAATGTGCCTTTTTGGCACAATTGCTGGGTGCTACTTATCTCCTGCCTGGAGAATCGAGCCTTTATCAATACTCTTAGCTCCACACCTCTCCACCTGCCCTCAACATTAGTTGCTCAGTTACATCTAGTCCAAGCTAAACACTCCCAAACACCCGCCTGTAGGAGCGGCCAGTGACCATTCCACCCCAGATCTCACATGACTCTGTGGCTTTTCTCTCTCCAAAGCATTATGAACTCTCTTTCTGTCTCCTGTGTCTTCTGTCTCTTCCCATGGGGACCCGGAAACCACCTATTCCTTCTACCCAGCAATTGGCATGTGGCTTCTTTAGTGATAGATCAAGAACCAATTGGGTAACAGGACCGTAGCAACAGAACCACCCCTACAATTTCTCATTTTAAATTTCTACCAGGGTAAACCCCCCACATGAACAAAAGGTACTCAAACTCTAATATATAATAATATATTTTAAGAGCATAAGAGAAGCCTGAACCAAAGAGTTTGAAAAATGTTTTTAGAAGACAGGATAGTATACTTTGTATAGTCAAAAGAGTTTAAAGATCAGAAACATGGGGTCTTTTTAGAATGCTGGTAATGTTTTTATCTTAGCATAGGATGCAGCCTTTAAAGGCTGTAGATGCTTATGTTTGTTGTATACCTACATGAACAATATAATGCTTACAAATTCACCTTCTATACATGTCATTGGTCATATGACACTGAGAGTCCTGTTCTGTCTCATTGTCCCTGCTCAAGAACAGAAGAGACCTAGGAAAATGAAGCCCATAAGTGAAATGAACTAAAGTCTCATGCAGTAGGCAACTTTATTCAGAATCCCAGACAATTTATACTGTGAGGGTTAAGAAAGGTCACAGGAGTAAAGTGTAAAGTTCTCATGAGTTCAAGCAGAATACAATGACAAGAAGTGGCTGTTTTTCCATAGAGGTGTATAAAGGATAGTTTAAACATTTAATTGACTAGCAGCAGCAAGCAATAATGAGTAATTTAAAGTAAACTTATCTTCTCCACCTGGAAGGAGTACAGAAGCATCTTCCAAGATCAGTTCTGTGTTTTGAATAAACTGAAATCACAAGACTTCTTTTCTCAGAGTGTTTATTCTCACAAGCACCCAGAATCCACAGGACTGCATTCCTGGCCCATTTTCCAACAACCGGATGTCAAGTTGGTCAACAACATGGCATAGAGATGTCACCTGTGTTTATGTCATCAACATGGGCATTTGCTTTCTTTCTGGGATAACCAGATACTGGTTGGTTTCACTCTACAGCCATTACAAACCCATAGCCTCCTATTGTTTTTTTTTTCCTCTGACAGTATGTTTATTGTCTCACAGGAAGAATCCTCTTCATTTTCAACACTTCAGCCACCCTGGTGATAGTGATTATGGAGATGAACACATCAGAGACGAAGGTGTGACTGGTGACAGGCCAGAGTGTCCCTATGGGGCATCTTGTTACAGGTAAGGAGGCTGAACCATGTGACTGCACTGTTCCCTAAATGCCTCTTAGCCAGGTCAGACGGCCTTCCTGGAGCCCCTGTCTGAGCCTGCAGCATAGTTTCCATTAAATTTATCTAGAGCACAGATATTCTCTCATGTAATTCTAAATTGTTATTAATATTATAGGTACCTGACACTTTTCTGTGTTTCTGTCTAGAATGCAATCAGGTTAATTTATAAGACATCCTAATACATGCTCTATGAAGACTCTGAGGTGTGATATACAGACTACTGGAGATGTTATCTCTATTCCTGTCTGCTTCCTCAGCTTCTACTAATCCACTCCTTTTGGTAACACCCAAAACTCAGTCACAGCTGAAGAGCATGGGAGCCTTTCCTTTGCCCGTCCGTACTGTCGCCTCCTTAGACGGAGGAGACCTCTCCATGCCACAGTCTTGATCAGAATGTCTCCCCACCCAGGAAGCAAGCATGTTCCATTGAAAGAAAGGATTCTTGATATTTTGAAACCTTGATTATTCGGAGAATGAATTTGAACTTAACCAAAGTATAAAATAAAGTAATCCCAAACCTAAAGAACTCTAATGCAGACACGATTTTGTGTTTTAGGTAATTCTGAGTACAGATTACAGACTAATCTGCTGGTTGTGATAAAGTTGATGCAAATGGCCTGTCTTTTATTGATTTTTCACGTCCTTACTGATTTTATCCTGTTGTTTTTGTTATTAGAAAGACTTTTTAAATCTCTTATTTTGTATGTTTGTCTTTTTTACTTAATCCTGTTGGGTTTTTCTAATCTCAAAAACTTAAGAAATTCACTGGAAAAGCCATAAAAGTGGAAATTTAAGTCAGAGCCCCTTCCATGTTGGTGATATTTAGACGCTTTTCAGAGCTGCTGTGGGTGGGGTTATTTTCCCAACTTGATGCTTTGCAAGTTCATTTTTGGTGTGTAGAAAGGTGTTCTTTTGATGTTGATTTTATGGCCTGCTACTTAGCTAAAGCTTTCCGTTGTAAATCTCCTGGTGAAGTTTTAGGGTCTCTTAAAGAAAGGACCATGTTTTTGACACAGAGGAATAATTTAAAGAGAGGATCATGCCACTGACACAGAGGGATAGTGTAAAGAGAGGACCATGTCACTCACACCGAGGGATAGTTTGAGTTCTTCCTCCCCCATTTGTATGCCTTTTATTTCTTTCTCTTTCCTTATTACTCTGAGATTTCACACATAATGAATAAGAGTTGGGAATGAACAGCCTTTCTTGTGTCTGACTTTAGTTTTTCAGCATGATGTTATCATTGGGTCAGTGTGGACTCAATACTGAGTGGATTTCATTTAACCAGACCTGGGTCTTGGAGGCCACAGAGCTTGCAAGTGCAGGGGAAGCTGTCTTTCTGGCACTGGATCATGCTCCAGTGATTGGGCCTCTGAAAGTTTGTGCTTCGGGAGTCATGGGTCTCTGTGCTGTCCTGTGTCCAGGAACCCACTAGAAGAATCAGTGCTAACCCACTGGGTGTTGACCTACAGCATTGGCCAAGCTACCAGGGAAGGAGCATGAGTTAAGACTGCAGAGAGCCCTGTGAAGATAACCAGGTCTCAGAGGAAATGGAAGCTCCTTTCCACTAGAGGCATTAAGTAGAGAGGCCCTCTGGGTTGGGGGTGTTGGTGGGAGGAAGACACTAGATGCAGGAGTGACTGTGGAGTCGCAGTGCTGGTCACTGCATCCTGTCTCATGACACTGCATCTTCATCTACCCTTTGAAAGTTAAAGTCCTGTCCATCTCAGCCTGCTATCCTTTAGCTGCCTGTCTTAGGGTTTTACTGCTATGAGCAGACACCATGACCAAGGCAACTCTTATAAGGACAGCATTTAATTGGGGCTGGCTTACAGGTTCAGAGGTTCAGTCCATTATCATCAAGGCAGGGACATGGCAGCGTCCAGGCAGACATGGTGCAGGAGAAGGACCTGAGAGCTCTACATTTTGTTCTGAAGGCAAGCAGGAAGGAGAGAGACTGGCATCCCCAGGCATCTAGGAGGAAGCTCTCAAAGCCTATACCTACAGTGACACACTTCCTCCACCAAGGCTGCACCTCCAAGTAGTGTTACTTCCTGGACCAAGCATAGTCAACCCACCACATTCCACTCCCTAGCCCTCATAGGCTTGTTCAAAAATGAGTCTGTGGGGGCCATACCTAAACATATTATAATGCAAAATATATTTAACCCAACTTCAAAAGTTCCCGTAGTCTATAGCAGTCTCAAAGTTCTAAGTCTTTTCTGAGAGTCATTCAATCACTTAACTGTAATCCCGTATAAAGTCAAAATCAAAAAGATCACATACCTTAGATATTACAGGATATACATTACCATTATAAAATGTCATAGTGAGTAAATACTGGGACAAACAAGACCAAAACTCAGCTGGGCAAACTCCAAACTCTGCATCTCCATGCCTGATGTCAAAGCTCTGAGACCCCACACTCACGTGACACAATTCCTCCAACAAGGCCACACCTTCAAGTACTGGCACTCCCTGGGCCAAGCACATTCAAACCACCACACTGCTTTTGGGTCAGTTCCTTCTCTTGTGTAGGAGGAGCTAAGGTGGGAGGAGTTATGAGAGGAAGAGGTGGAGTAAGGAGGAGAGGAGGAAAAGGAAGAGGAGGAACTAGGAGACAGGAGAGGAGAACAAGAGACAGAGAGGAGATAGAGGTGGATGTTCATGTGTCTGTAGCAGTCAAAGGTAGTTGGTATATCTAGGTTGGGTATTGGGTTATACTTCTGATTGTATGGGTATCTTGTTACTGATCATTACCAAATATAAAGTCTTTGATTAATCTTTAAGCATTAGAGTCTCATCTTTCTACTGGGCCCACGTGGATGGCGGGATGGTTTAGGCAATGCCCAGCTGTGCAGAGACATCTCCCACGCCGACATCTCGTGGGTGGCAGGGCAGGTGTTTCTAGTTGGCCATTTCTAACTGCAGCACACACATGGCCTCTGGCCGAGAAACAAGGTGGCTGGGCTAGGCAGAGCTGCTGCAGCTTAGATAGTCGGCCTGAGCCTAAGGCCGTTTTAAATACTTATTACGACATCTTGCTTTAAAGCCAAACATTTAGTTACTTGAGATTTCTAAACCAGACTTTGAGGGACACTCCAGTAATAAACAGCTAAGATCATTTTTAACTTTTCAATAATCTTATTCAATTTATTATAGGGAAAATGATGCAAAAAAAAAAAGAGAGAGAGACTGTCTGAAACAAACATATTAATAGGGAAAAAAACAGTTTTAAGTTTCAAGTGGCTCCAGATAGTAATAAAATAATAAGTGTCCATGTTGAAGATAATACTTACCAGCTATGATTATAGTTCAGTGGTTAGGGTACCTGTCTGGCATGCTCGAGTCCCTGGGTTTGAGCCACAGCACTTCTAAAGAGAAAGAGGGAGGAGAAGGGAGAAGAGGGGACAAGATGAACATTTGTCAGTGGCTTATTCTTTCATTTTTGTAGGTTTGGAATGTTTTAAAGAAAAACTAACAAAAGTCCTCAGATGCCCAGCAGTGGTTTCTGGAGCACAGAGGACAATGTCTGGTGTTTATGCCCTGCTGTGTGCCTCCTTCCCCCATGCTCACACTGACTGACCTTTTACCCAGAACTGAGTTTCCAAGTCAGTAGCTTGAACAGTGTGTCCAGTAGGGAAGACATTGCTGAAGCTTTCCCGTTTGCAGCTCCCTGAAGCACATGTCACTTGTTCGTTTTTCTCAAGCTCAGAGTTTCCGTTCGAGCAGGAGGTCAGACTTGGGTTAATTACCCCACACACAGTCTAGTGCAGACGCTCTGTTCGTCTTCACACCTGTTGAGTCATGACCTAATTAGCTGTACACTTGCATTCCTCAGCTGCTTACTGCTCACCCACCGGAAAAGTTAAGAAGAGAGAGATACTGTGAAGATGTGCCAGGCACCTGGCACAGGGCTGTCCTGCAGCAAGCAGTCTGACTGGCTCTGGACCCGCTAAGGACAGAGCCTCCCACCCACCAAGCTGCAGCTTCAGCTGCATGTGGTGTAGGCTCTGTGGGTCCTCTTCCTCAGACTGGGAGACTGAGGCTCAGCTTATGAGAGGTGTTTGCCAGGATTCTGATGGGATGCCTGCCCCTGAGTTAGTCTTTATCCTCTTTCCAGTCGTAACATTCCCACCATAGAATCTTTACTCTCCTGGAGAGTCTGTAGAGGATGTTTGATGGTGAGAGTTTTAAAATTAAATTTAAATTGCTCTTGAGTGGGCAGGGAGATCTAGTGTGCTTTTTTTTTTTTCTTATAACTTTGTATTGTTCAACATGCTAGTCAAATTACCTATAATTTAACTAAATTAGCCAAAATCAAATACAATTCAAAATTCAGTTTCTCAGTCAGTTCCAGTGTCCACATGCTGTCACTGTTTAATGTTCTGGATGGCACACAGAGAGAATGTTACAGAGATTTTAGGGAGTTCAGTTACTGTGACTCTTAAAATTAGTATTAAATTCTGTCAATAGATCTGTCATTACAAGTTACATGCAGTGACATTGTATTTTTCTAAATCTCATTACTTAAAGTTATGTTTTTATAATAACTTCCTATTGCCTAGAATAAAGAAAATTCTTGGAACAAATACAAAATATTAGGTAATGCTAAAACCCAGGAAACATTATTTATAAATCAGATGGTTCCACATAATTAGAAATTATTTGCTTTACTCAGTAGTGTCAGAAGCATAGAAGAGAAAAATACATAATACTTTAAAAGTATAATTTTATTATGGAACATTTTAACAAAGTATACACAGTGTTAGCTGATACAAATAAAGAAAAGGTGCTTTTACACAGGTGCTGTGACTTATAAGTGGGAGCTTTCACCATCTGATAATTATGAAGCTCTTAAATCCAGTTCATTAATTTGTCTGCCCTCTCTCTATTCTGTCGTTTCTTGAGTTCAAAAGCCCTTATCCTGGCGTGGGATGCACACTCAGTAAATACTGTAATGAAAAGGCAAGTCTACTGGGCAGAGTAGCACATGCCTGCAATCCCAGCAAACAAGGAGCAGGAGGGCTAGGAGTTCCAGGGAGACCTGGGATCTGTAGCAAGAGCCGTTGTGATGATGATGGTGGTGGCCAAAGTGGAGAAGGAAGGGGAAGAAGGGAAGGAGGGGTCAGGGAATGGAGGGACAAATCCTTCCATGAGATGCATCTTCAGCTCTGACTTTACCTGCAGGTTACCGAGCACTCTGCTTATCTTCATAGCTCTTTTCAGTCCTTAGAGAACTCCATCCTGTTGCTGCCTCCTTTTCTTTTTCAGGAAGAACCCCCAGCACAAGATGGAATATAGGCACAGTGCAGTTCCAGGTAAGTAACTACTTCAGTCAACTCAAAAGAAACCTTTGAGTAATTCTCCAATTAAACTGGGTATTTCAAAAATATTGTTGCTTATATGAGTTATTGTTGTTGATTTAAGTTACTTCTCCTAGATTATTTTTAATGAATTTTTAGTTGAATCTTTTTCTGTATTTTATTTATGTGAGTATACTGTTGCTCTCTCAGACACACCAGAAGAGGTCATCAGATCCCGTTACAGATGGTTGTGAGCCACCATGTGGTTGCTGGGAATTGAACTCAGGTCCTCTGGAAGAGCAATCAGTGCACTTAACCACTGAGCCATCTCTTCAGCTCCCCCACCCCCCTTTTTAAAATGAACTTTCAGAAGCCGAGTTTGATAGCTCACACTTGGATCCCAACACTTGGGAGACCAGGGCAGGAGATGCCTCAAGTCTGAGGCCAGCCTGGGCAGTACACTAATTTCCTGTTCCAAGTAAATGAAAGAACTATAACCTTCTGTTTAACAAATGCTTTCTGCAATCGTAGCCCAGCAGCATATGCGTCTCCTTTGTCTGTTTGGTGTCTCTTATGCCAAACCCGAGAACAAAGCGTCAAGCTGGCCTAGCAATGGTGAAAGCACACTCACTTCGGTACCGGAAAGCCGAAGGGTGGGGCTTGGATCTGGACAGTGCTATTGGGTTGGCTCATTATTACTGTCAGTAATGTTTCCATTTCCTTTCACCATTCTCTTTCATCATTCTGTCTTGGAGGGCTGTTCCTTCTCAAGGTGTTTTCTCTCCACTAGAGGGACGTTTACACCCTTGTTAGGCTGGGACAGTGCAATCAGTGTTGACATCTGAGGAAAGAATGAATAACTTCGACTCATGATCCTTAGAGGAAGGAGTGAGTTTCCTTCCTCCAACTAGCCTAGACCCCGTGAGCCATTCTTGCCTGTGAGCCAGTCACTGTAAGGGTGATTATTCTGAACCAGTGCATGAACCTTCTCCAGTAGCACTGGGATGGTGGGCATCCCTATGAGAGTGCAAACCTTTAGCTGCCCAATTGGCCTTTGCTTTGCTTGTTTTTGAACGCTTTAAGAATTTTCCTCTCGATAAGTCTCAGCCTCTTTGTGCCATGTATATATTGTGAGGACCAATTCAGCAAATAATATCTCTACCTGTGAGGAGAGATACAGCATATGATGGCAGGACAGTGCTCTCTAGTTCTTGTATCTACATATGTAACCAGCTTGTGACAGAGCGATGCAGATGGCCTCATAATGAGAGAAATCCATGGAGTATCTTAGTGTGTTAGTACTCCAGACATAAATGGACCCTTTGTTGTTGAAATGTCCCCCCATTCTTCAAGAAACTGACCGCCAAGAGATCTAGAAAGAAAGCAGTTAAAAAGAGCAACATGGCTTATCAGAGATTCAAGCTGCGACTTAGATAGGAAGGTCTGAAAGAGCATAGGAGCACGGGCTGTCAGAGCCTGATGAAGTGGGAGCACAGTCTGTAGGAGCCTGATGCAGTGGGAGCACGGGCTTTGGGAGCCTGGTGCAGTGGGAGCACACAGTCTGTAGGAGCCTGATGAAGTGGGAGCATGGGCTGTGGGAGCCTGATGCAGTGGGAGCACGGGCTGTGGGAGCCTGATGCAGTGGGAGCACGGGCTGTCAGGTGCCTGATACAGTGGGAGCACGGGCTGTCAGAGCCTGATGTAGTGGGAGCATGGGCTTTGGGAGCCTGAAGCAGTGGGAGCACGGGCTGTCAGAGCTTGATGTAGTGGGGGCACGGGCTGTGGGAGCCTGATAGAATCCTGAGAAAGTGCAATATAAGTTTATAAGCTTCCTTTCCAAATGTGGAAACCTACTACCAGCTTGATACACTAAAAAAACCAAAACATCAAACTAGTCTTTTGTTTTAAAGTAAAACATTAAAAATATTATTATAGTGTATGTTAAATTTTTCTTCTCAAGAAATATTGTACCAAATAATATTTATGGGAAAGAAAAAGGGAAATAAAACCTAGAGAATGAATCTGTTAATCTGCTTTGAAGCATGTGTAGCAGCATTTTGGAAAGGTTCTCCTGGGAAATTCTTCCAGGGTTTTGTGCTAGGCAAGAGCTCTGCTGCTGAGCTGTGTCTCCAGCCGGACTATCATTCCTGAGTGACAGCTTCCTCTGCAGAAACAGAGAAGGCCAACATGGCAATCTCCAATCCTGTCTGATGAATAGTAGGCAGGGTCAAACTTGCGGCCTGTTAGTTTTCTGAAAGGAGTTTTCACCACTGGGTCAGGTAAGTGCTTTCCATTTGTAAGAAAGATGACAGCCGTTCTCCTCTTCTGTCCTCACATAGCCAGTCCATTTTCACAGTTCACGTTGCTGCACTAATTGGTAGAGGTGTTGAAGAAGACATTTTGGCTTTAAAATGATCATTTTAGAGTTACAGATGATCTTTGAGATAATTATTTCATAGATTTTAAAAATTGAATTCCATTATGTGAGGTAATCTTCATGATTGTCCTGGTT